AGAACATAAAAATATTCACCTAACGGGTTGCACAACTAGGCAAATGAGTCGTCTGAAAGTACATTAATAGTGGAATCTCATTTGCTACGATTCGACTATATTCACAAAGTGTGAGTTTTTTTTTGTGAAACGAAAAGGTTGGCAATTAAATCAAATACTAGACATTTTCCTTAATTGCAAAATGTTAATACGTTTTTGTAACGAGCTGTGTAGCTAACTTAACGAATCGTTTGAAGATTCATTAATGGGAAAGATAATATTGCTCTGTCTTGGTCTTATCCACAACAATGTTGGTGTTTTTCGGGCAGAAAAAGTTAGAGTTAGAATTAAATACTAGATTGAATGGTGATTAAGGGAAAATTGTTTGAAGTTCCAAATTCATAGTTTAAGGAACCTAACAAAATGTTTGAAGTATCATTTTTACGGTTACAGGTCACTGACTGTCGCTCAACTATCACTCAAATTTCTGTTTTCTTCGGATTGTCATAACTTTTGCATAGGAACTCCGTTTTTGACGTTCTTTATATCCATGGTTTCATAATTTTGTTCACCTTTTGTTTAGTGTATCATCTATGCATGATAATACTTAATACATATATTATTTAAATCATATGTATCAAATCATTACTTTTGTATAATGAAATATATTTATTCATCAACGATCTATACCCATCGAAGCGTAAACTTTATTTTCATTAAAATGAGTGGTATATGTTACATTAAGTCTATTATTATGTTCATAGAAATTGTTATCGACAAACGTTTGAGGTTCAAGATTACATGGAGAATTATCGGAATGTGATTGCAACCTTGATAGTCGTGTGATTGATTTGGTCACTTTGTCATGTTCGTGTTGTGGTGAGGTTCAAGATTACATGGAGAATTAGTTCTTGAAATGGTCTTTGGTTCGTCAACTTTGGCATAAGTTTGCGGACTAAGTTGGTGAGATGGTGCCAACATTTGATTCCATTGATGCTTTGTTTCGGTGGATTTAATGACCAAGTTGTTGCAAACTTTCGCAGATTACTCATAGAGACGGCTTGTGCTATTTTGATTCTGATCCTTTGGACTTATCGGAATGTGCTTGTTTTTAGGAACGTGAAGTACATAAGAGAGCTTATCTTTAATTTCACTTTTCTTTTTCGTTTAGGGTTAATGACCTAGAAAGGTAACGGACTTTGGACTTTGTCCACATTTAGGTAATCATGTTTTTTTCGTTTACATTTGACCAATGAACTTGTTTGATGATCTGTAGTGGTGTGTATGGGGTGGTTTGGCTCGGTTATTGATTAAAACCGAACCATAACCATTATGATTGGTTAATGCATTTTTGTAGCCATTGGGTATGGTTAATATTGGTTATGGTTAATGGTTTTTATCAGTTAACGGTTTTGGTTAATGGTTAATATTGGTTAAGCATAATTTTCAAAATAATATAAACGACGAAAGTATATTGGCATAAAAATGAAAATAGAATACCAAAGTGTAATCGACGCCAATGTTTGTAACTTAACTTATAGTAATAGAATAAAATGTATACCATTAATACTTAGAGTGAGATAACATGTAGACACATTCAATAAAAATATAAAACATTATAAAAATTTGACATTAATAAATTCATATATTGATAATTGATATTAAAATCAAAATAAAGTCAAACATTCATACACGTTCAATATGATTAAATCAAAACTATAAAATAAAAGAGTAAAACATTCATATTATGTGTTACTGGATAAAAAAAAAAAAAAAAGTCAATCACTCGTATGCATTCAATGTGATTAAGTCAAAAACAATAAACAAAAAAAGCCAAAAAAATTCAAAAAAAATACATTCTTAATATATCATAGAGTCAAAAAGAACAAAAAATTAACATACCTAGAAGCCTTGATTATAAAGTCAAAAATCATTCGAATAGTACTATAAAGTCCAAACAATTTTTGATTAAGATTAACAATGTGAGAAGCATTCGATCAGGATTATCAGTGTGAAGATTAAACTAATTGTGAATAATGTTTACAAATTGTAGAATTAGCCGATTAGGAATTTCAATATTAATCAATAATCTAACTCAATGCATGATTGGAAGATTGTGTGTATCTGTGATCAATCTTTGATGGTTTGATTGCTCGTTCGTAACCTGATAAGTGAGGATTAATTGAATATATTTTCAAATTTTTAATGGATCTTAAATAAGTTTGACTATATTATTTTATATATAACCTATAATTTTTATATATTAAAATATAAAGTTAGCGGTTCGGTTAATAATGGATCGGTTAACCTATAAAACCATAACAGAACCGTTAGTTATCGGTTAACAAAAATTAGAAACCGAACCAACGGTTTTTAAAATGGTTCGGTTATTATGGTTCGGTTAATTTGGTTTTGGTTCGGTTTTTCGGTTATTATGCTCACCCCTAATGATATGTTCAAAATAGGGTAATATGATTGGTAATTACGGTAATATTACCCTATTATAAACAGGTCAAAAAAAGTTTATTGGTCAAATGTGTACAAAAAAAACATGGTTACCTAAATATAGACAAAAACCAAAGTTTCTTACCCGTTTTGGTAATATTGGACAAGAATCGTCTCAGGGATTGTGCCCTGGGATTAGGCTCCGACAGTCATTGAACAATTAGGTTAGGTTTGGTCTAACTTAGTTCAGTCTCAGCTAGTCATGGGTTAGGCTGTGTTGCTACGTCTTTAAAGCACATACAACCTAACTCTTTAAGCGTCTACAACCTAACCCCTAACTAGCTTGGCCTAAACTGGGTTGGCCCAAGACTTGATCATCTCCTCATACACAAAGACCGGACAACACGGTTAGCTGCACTTAACATAAAGAACCCAATATTACCAAAATGGGTAAGGAATTTTGGTTTTTGTTCATATTTAGGTAACCATGTTTTTTTCGTACATATTTGACCAATAAACTTTTTTGACCTGTTCATAATAGGGTAATGTTACCGTTAATTATCAGTCATATTACCTTATTTTGAACATATCAAACAAGTTCAATGGTCAAATATGTAAAAAAAACATGGTTACCTTAATGCGAACAAAAACCAAAATCCGTTACCTTTCTAGTTCATTAACCCTTTCATTTAATTGGTTTGGTAGTAGGAACTGTAAAATTTTAAAAATAATATATAAATATATAAATAAACTGGAATGGGTGGATACAAAATACACTCGTAAGCTAATTGTTTGCTCCCTTTTCCTGGAGTCGAGTTAGTTTTGAATACATATAGACGTTAAAAAAAAGCATTAATATAACAAGTAATGCATCTTGTTAATACTATTGTCAAAATATTCTCACTCTCCCTATCTAATATTCATGCCCCTACCTATATAATTATATATTTTTATTTAGGTATTGTGAATGATGATATGATGTTAGATGTGATTTTATGTATGTGATTAGACTTAAAACTTCTTTAAAAAATCTATAAAATCCTTAGGGGTATAGATTATGGCATTACTACTTTATTTATGTAATTTGATATAATTCAATTGTTTCACCTCTCAAACATTTTTATTAGAGGTGTTTAAAAATATGTATCCGGATCCAATAAATACAAAATCCGATTTAAAGTTATCTGAAAATTCGGATATCTAAATTTCAGGTTCCGATTCATATAGCATTTTTGGATATTTCAGATATCCAAAAATCCAAAAAAATATAATATTTTATTTCATTTTTTTAAATTATTAGTTTAGTACGTTTATGTTTTTTTTATAAGGATTAGAGTTCCGTATCAATGTTATAGCCGCAAAAACATATCTTCTCCCGAACACCTTCTTCGTTGACATCTTTTATGCTTTTCTTTTAGGATTTATAAGTTTTCTGGTTTTTATTTACAGTAATCTAGATTTTAATTTGCAAATACTACAAGTTCATGGGAATTGACGTTGGTGGTTTTTATATTTGATCTTTATATTAATTTACATTTGCTTGGTGGTGGTGGGTGATGGTCTTTATATTATGTTGCTAGTTTTTAATATTGATATGTAAATGCTACTCAACAAGAACGTCCTTTCCCAGTAACTATTTTAATGCTCTTGTATTTGATGCTTTAAAAGATTTGTTCTATGTTCTTTATAGAACTAGATTTTAAATTTATTTCAGATTTATTACAGTTTTTTAAGTAAATCTAAACAAAGAAAATAAAATAAGTTTTTGGATAATGGATTTTTGATATCCAAATCACTGAATCAGTATCTAAATTCCGGATATCCATTTTTGAAGAGCCCTATTTTTATTATATATTTCAATAATTATATGTACAATAAAATATATTAAATGTAATTATAAACATCAAATTATTTAAATAATGGCTTAATTTTCTCAAATAATCAATTTGAAAACACACATAAGGCACAGTTTACCTATTATTAACTTATTCGACTCATTCGAACATTTCCTTTTATATCTATTTTCTGGTATTTACTCATCAACTTATTTAACCCATTCACACATTTCCATTTATAGCTATTTTCTTGCATTTACCCATCAACTTATTACACCCATTCGAACATTTCCTTTTATAGCTATTTTCTTGTGTTTACTTTCAACCTGTTATTAATAAATACAAGCCTATATTGTCCTTTTTCATAAATATGATACTATTATCACATTTATATAAAGTATAAAACCAACTTTAACTTGTCAAATCAATTTCCAAATAATTAAATTTATGTTCCAACCAATAACCATGGTTTATCCAACTAAAGCTCTACAAAATTCCAAAAAAATACGTATATTTATTTTTCTACAAGAAATTGAGAAAATATATAATTTTTCCCATTTTAATTCAAGTCTAATTTACACCCATTAAATCTTTATTACCCTTTATTTTTTTTATCCATGACTAAGTATTTTATACTTTGTTCGACATGTATCCGTTCACTTGATACTAATTGATAGCAACAACTAGCTTCAAGTCTCTCTCTTGTTTATGCAAAAAGACGAGAATACCCTTTTTATCCACGTCATCAAACAGAGTTCTAAGAAGTTTGTCTAGTTTTATACTATAAAACAAACTTACACGACACAAAATGGGAACTAAGTTTTCTATTACAAGAGTAATAATAGTCTACAACATCTTAAAAAAGAAAAGGTTGAATTAGATTGAGATGATATTAAGGCATATGAAAAATGAAAACCTAGAGCAAAATTTCAACAGGGAAGACACCCTATTGGTTTTTTTCGAATGACAAACAAAGGGATATAAATAAAGAATGAGTTAGTTAAGACAAAATATACACAATTACAAACCATTTTAACTAACTTTATAATCCTCATGAAGAAAGCTCTCATAAAGTGTTCCATTTAATACCTTTTTAATATCATCCCAATTTTCCACCTGTTCACGTAATGGACCTTTATGTATCTTCACCTGCCTACTCTTTAGCTCCATTTGCGGTATCCTCAAAAAACGTTGCACATCCTCCAATACCTACAACCAAACAGATAACAGATAACAAAATAACATATAACAGATAACAGATAACAGATAACTGGAAACATACAGTGTGGTTCTTGATAATGTCTTCGTAGTAAAGGATGATGTGGCGAGTGGAATTGAAGTATTCCAAAGCTTGTTTAACCATGTTGTCGGCTTGTTTAAGCTCGGGGATTAGCAGTGTTGTATTTATTGTGGGCTTGTAACTTGCTAGAATTTTAGCCTGAGAACATTATAATGATAAATACTTTAGTAAAGAAACTACACACACACATACACACACACAAATGACAAAATTGACCTCATCGTGTGAATGTACGTGGGATTTGTGTTTCCCATTTAGAGGTTTAGCACTTTGGTCATAAGCATTTGCAAGTATTGAGATTCTTCTACGAAGAAGATTTCTTCTAAAAAGAAATATCATTGAAACTCCTTTAGCTTTAAAATATTCCACTATCGCTTCATGATTTTGCATTAAGCCCTGAAATAAAATCAAAGTCAACCACTCCCTAGAGTCAAATGATATATAAATGTTGCTATTATGAGTTACATATGACTTTATGTATGAGAAATTAAGTAGTTTGGATGCAAGAAAGTATTATCACCTGATTAAGCATCCACTTCAAGCCCACTGCAGCTGTGCATTCATTCTTGGAAGCACTTGTCAACCAATCAAGATTGTAAATTTTGTCCAAAGTGTCCACAATTGTTGACATATTTGTCCTCCTTGGTTTAACTGAGAAAATCTCACCATTTGAGCTTACATTCATATGACTATTTAATAATGTCTCAAACCATCCACTCCCGGATCTTTGTGTTGATGAGATAACAAAGTATCGAACAGGATTGCATGCACATTCAGCCCTAATTATACCCCAAAAAGAACAATATCAGTGATTTTACATTTGCTAAAATGAGAATGAAAGAAAGAAAGAAATTTGAAGAAAAAGAAAGCATACCGATTAAAAGTAGTGGGATTGGGGAAATGGACATAAGGCCTCTCCCATTTTTCAACATTTGGCACTTCGCAAGGTTTGTCAACCACTTTAATGTCAATGAAACCAGCCTTTGTGAAGTTGCTAATTTGCTTTAGACCAATTGAACACATGAAAACCCCACATACCATGACAAAAGCTAACAAACTTATTCTTAACACCAAGGAGTTCTTTACTGGAGGCCTAACGATAAGCATATCCTGTAATTCAAAGCATTTGCAGGTATTTAATGTTTGTTTTGTACTTGCAGCCAAGAATAAAGATGTGAACGCATAGAACAGAATCAAGATATTTGATATTGAATGAAACCAAAGAAAGGAAAAAGAGAAAGGACTGCAGATTGAATCAAGTGTACCTTAATGAAGAAGCATAGATCATCAGCCATTATTTGTTGAGGGAATTTAAAGTGGAAGAGAAAGGGAAATCATCTGGTAGCTCAAGTAGAAATTTCCCCTTTCCCAATTCTCTCTTGCTTTACTCATGTTTTTCCCATGTTGAATCTTTTGCTTCACATCAATATGCCTAGAGAGAAAAAGAAACGAAAAGAGGAGTGTCTCTTCAGTCTTCACGAGAATAACACTGTTACGAGAAGACTTTTTGAACTGATCCACACTTTTCCCCCTTTTATCCTCTACAGATTTTGCTCCGGCTCTTTCGTTTCTGGTCAGTCAAAACTTCAACCAGCTTCGAATCCAAATAGGAGATCGAAAGATAAGTAGCTCAAAATCTAGAAACCAAAACCTATCAGGCCTCAAATCGAGCCTCGAAAACCTGAAATAAAACAAAATAGAAGCTCAAGTAAACCATCAAAAGCTGAAATCAAAGAACATATCACGAGAAATCGAGAACAAAATGAAGGTAGTCAACGCGTGCTACTTCCTGGAGCTGAAAGACAGAAGATGAGGGGTCCGTCGTGCTTTCCAAATGTTCAAATGAGTTCCGTAATGGCGATTATTTACAAAACAAAACTAATCGAAGATGTACAACGAGGAACCATCAGTCGAACCAAATCGAATGCAACACATGAAAGATGGAAACAGGTTTTAACAGACGATTATCATACAAATCCTTTTGCAAATTCCTTGACGCAGATTCAGCTCTCCATTAATTAATCTCTCCTCTAGGCTCTAACATAACCTCATCTCCCAAATTTCACTAAAAACATAAAAGAGATAAAAACAAAACACATTTAACGAGAGTGTACCTTGAAGATTAAAGCTGTTCAATGCGTCGATTGAATCAATGCAGTCATGAATGACTCCACACAAGTGATTACTCGTCGTCACGATTGCTCGGTGTTGTTATCGATCTCACCGAAGATCCCTTCTTCTGCAATATTAAATCCTAATCCTGTAAAATTAAATTTTTTATATTATGAATTTCTGAACACCGGCCCGGCCGGTAGGGGAATTGGGCCCAATCATGTCTTTCGGTTAAATGCATGAAGCATGATGCATAATTATTACATTACATTACATTCCAATTTTAGTAACTTATTACATATCTTAAAAAAAATCTATTTCATAATACTTTTTACTTGCTAATAATTAGGTTTTTAGTATTTAGATTTTTATTAAAAGTGTATTTTCCTAACAAAAAGTTAAAAGTATAGTATCATAGTTAGATATATTTAATAGAATATATTATCTTTAATGAAAAATTAAAAGTATAATATTATTATGAGAGAGAGAATATATATAATATTTTAATGAATAAAAGAAAGTACCCAAGTAATTTCTAATCTTCCTCTTATGAAAAGATGATATTAACAATACGATAAAATATTTTTTTATTACTTTATAGAAAAATATAACGTTTCAGCAAAAAAAATCTATTTCATAATTATTACATTACATTCCACATTTGTTTCTAACTTTAAAAAGGCGACTATGGTTGCAAAATAGCAAAAACAAAGCTTGAAATGCTTGAGCATTTTTGTCAATTGTTTTGACTTTTTTTAAATATAACTTCTTTCATTATTATAGACATAACAAATTTCATAAAATATTAAAATCAAATAAATTTGTTACAGAATTTTAATCTCTTATGCACTATTATAATCTTGTTTTTTTTTTTTTCTCAAAAAATATAACTTAATAAACGAGAAAACATGTAAAATGTTCTTCAAGACTTTGGTAATAACAAATTAACAATTGAAAAGTTGTGAAAACCAAAATCATAGTGTATTATCTTTGACTTTAATGTGATAGTCCATATAGTGGATCCTTTGATTGCACCAAATGTTCGAAACAACTTGCACGAAACCACCGAGTACGTGCAAAAATAAAGTACACATATAATATCCTTGGACAATAAAAAAATTAATACTTATAATTTGATTATTATGACTTTAAATCGTTATATTTCATGCTTGCTTTTCACAATTAGTTATGTTATTTTAATTAGAGCTATCCAAAATCGACCTAACCCACCTATTCAATCAGAATTCAACACAAAATTAACTACTTAATTATACTAAGATTTGTAACCTTCTTACTAAACAAGTAAGCATATCAATATGTTTAATTAAACACACGTTGATATTGATCTAGGCCGTTGTCATATACAAAATCAGGTTTTTAAACATGAAACACAATCATTTAAAAGTTAAAACCAAGGTCCACCATGTTAAAGTTGAAAAGACGTTCATCATCATTCATATTCATCATGGCAATGGCAATGGCAGGCTTTGATTCCTTTTTCTGTTGAATGTTCGTTAGAAGAGCACTACCAATAGCAAATGGTAATGCAATTGCGATGTTAATACACAAATAATAAGTTTGGCGTAATGACTTAAGAGGGTAATATTTTTTTCGATTTTTACACGTTTGGTCACTGAATTTTTATTCGTCCATATTTACCCCTTCAACTTGTTAAACTGTCTGTATTCAATCCTTATGACCGGTTACTTCAGGTTAGCCGGAAAAAATGAGTTAATAGGGCAATATATTTTTCATTTTGTACACATTTAGTCCTTAATATTTTTGTATATATTTAGTCGTTAACATTTTATTTTGTTTCAAAATAAGTCATTTTTATGTACTCATTCGGTACTTATGAATGATTTATTTAGGTTTTTCTCACGACATCTTACGTGATATAATCATTGATGAGGTGTTTGGGGTTTTTGATATTTATGTCCAACATGATCTCGACTCCTTAGTTGCGTAAGTATTGTGGTTTGGCTTAGGTCTTGTATTCTGAACATCGTAACTTCTACATACGATATCAGATTTTAACGATCTTTATATCCATGTGTTCATTATTTCACTAAGATAACTCACGTTAAAATATAATATATTTTTACTTACGATTTTATAAAAAAACATCGTAAATTTTCAAACAAATTTTTTTCATTTTAAAATCACATGAATCTCATCAACACAATTCACAAATCCCCAAAATGACAATTTATCAAAAACACATATTCACAATTGTTTAAACAAAATCCAGGATCCTCAAAAACATAACTCCGTCTCGTGTGTATAATCAAGCCGATGCCTTTTCGCGATTCTGAGAAATACACGAAACACATATCACATCACACGGTAAGCACAAAGCTTAGTGAGTTCCCCAAAATACCACACATATCTTATTAGCCTCTCATGGCTATGTCTCGAATAAGACCATCCGGTCAATGTGTCTCAGTGGGACCCTCCAGTCCCACAACTCGGGTGGACCCTCTAGTCCTAACTCAGTAAATCTTAGAATAATACATAGTATAAATCACAAAGACATAATACAGGATACCACAATACTCAATAAAACATACAAGGCCCTCCGGTCACACAAAATTACCACTCAAGGTAAGTATAGTGAGGAGACTCACCTCGTAAGTAAATAAAGAAATTGTGTACCCCTCGAACGGTCTAATCCCTGCCTACATGTCATAAGCATCTCTAATTAACACTTAAATCACAACTCTAAATAAACCAAGCTATTTTCTCTCTCTAACTCTTAGGATGGATAAAAGACCATTTTACCCCTCCATGGTCCCTATAATCCCTGTCTTGACCAAACCCTAAAGTCAACAAAAGTCAACACTCGAGTCAACAGTCCATGTTGACCCGAATCGTCGAGTGATCTATGTGACTCATCGAGTTCCCTCGTTCCTTCAGAAATGTCGCAAAAATCTAACTTAACTTGTCGAGTTGTCTCATCAACTTGCCGAGTTACTCGCGAAAATCCAACTTAACTAGTCGAGTTGTCTCACCGACTCGCCGAGCCCCTTCAGTCTATGTTCTCATTCAGACGTTTTAAGGCAGAGTTACAACCCCAAAATCTAGATCTAGTCTCCCAAGGCTGAGATACCACGTAAAGCTGCAAGCTTTACGTCCATGCATGACACTTAGGGCTTAAAATGCCAAAACAAGTTTCATTTAGGGTCCTAAGCATAAAAACTCTCATCTAGCTTGATAAAGCTTGGACCTTTGGGCTTAAGGGACCTTACAAGGTCCAGATTTGAAGTCTCAATCTCTTGGCAAGCTCAAAATACTCAAAAGTCTCAAGGAAAGATGGAAAAGCCCTAAAACTTCCTAAAAATGAGATCTAATCAAAATAATGAACAAGGTGGTGACTTTTACCTTCAAACAGAAGCTAATGATGGATAAACACTGGATCCAACAATCCTTTCTCGTTCCGAGCCTTGATATTCTTCTCTTATCTTCCAATAGTGCACTAGAATGCCCAAAGTTAGCTCTCTTTCTCTCTTAGATCAATCTAAACGTTTAAGGATTCACAAAGGGGAGTAAGGTGACATGTGAGGCGGAAATGAGGGCTTAAGGTCCTTTAAATAGGACACAACCCCAGAAAATTAGGGTTTTATCTCACAGCGCCAATTCATCGAGTTGGTCGTAAAACCTACGTTGTCACACCCCCGAACCAGACGGTGGAAATGTCTGGGGCTCGTGTGACTAACAATTGAGTTATCATCACAATGAATATACATGAAACATAACACATTCATCACCAACATTACATATAGCAACCAGTATTGTTCACATCAAGTACATTGTTATAAATTACATAAATTCAAAGTATTAATAGTACGATGAGTGATGTTACACAAAATAAATCCATACACACTTGAAAATCTTCCTGCTTAACGATTACCTGAGAATACAAGTTATTTTGAAAACGGTCAACATATATAATGTTGGTGAGTTCATAAGTATGTTTGAATAAAGGTTATTGTATCTTTTGTAAAACCCATAAAATCCGGTATTTTCTGTAAAATGTCTGAAAATGATGTGAAAATCAAGTATAATTGCATGTGTGAATTTCATAGCAATAACATATATGATTGCAGTTTAAATTTCTTTGTATTGTGAGTAAGTGATAATTGAATAACAGTATATCCCCAGAAAATCTGATATTTTCTGATTTATAACAATGTCGAGGTTCTTGTATCATTAATTAAGTTGTTTCGTATTGAAACAATCGAAAGGTTAATTTTCGATATGTTAAATAGGTATTGGATCTCTATATGAGCCGTTATAACCATGCATGATAATGACTAGGTTGCATGTCTTGGCATTTTCAAATCGCCGGTATTTGCTCAAGGTTTTGTCGCCCTAGACTAGCCTAGTTTAGCTGTAACGAACAACAGAACAACTAAGGCATGAGGGGTCACCCCGTATAGATCTATACACAAACTCCCGTTCTCCCTCCATGTAACTTTGGTTATAATTACATGCTACGATTGTACACTCAAAGGTGTCAACCGACATGTCTCACTAGATTCTCAACCTTCATGTTTGTTATGTTTTTCACCATGTTTACTGTTTATGTGTATGTAGATTTTTCAAATCAAAAGGTATGTATATAAGTATACGAAGCTCAAGAATTATGTAAAGGTATAGTTACGATCTACTAAGCATGTGAATTTTAGTCCAAGCCCAATTAGCATGTAAATGGACCACAAAGGTCCAATAACATGTAAGAGGGTAATTTAGGCCCAATAGGCATGTAAATGGACCACCAAGGCCCAACAAACATATGACCCATAACTCAAGCCCAAATTAACATGTAAATGGGCCGTAAGGCCCAATAAACATGTCATGGAAAATATTGGGCTCAATATACAGTTGAATGGGCCCTTAAGGCCCATTGGCCATGTAATGTGAATATTAGGCCCAATAAAATTGTTATCGATGTATTTCGTCCATTCGTTATTGTTTTGTTGTTGTTTTAGCTAGAGGTTTACCAAATTAATTACAAAAAACCCTCTTTTGTAAAAACGACGTTCTTGGCCAATAAGCCTCAAATTTTCAATTAAGGCCAAAAGTTTTGTAAAAGTAACACTTTAGTCCATAATTTATAAAAATTTGAAATTTCGCCCCAAATGTTAAGGAATTTACGGATCTAGTCCAAAACTTTATTTTTTCACATTTATGGCCCAGTTTTGCAGAAAATTA